TCTCTTAGCTTTTCTGTTTGATAATGTTTCAATTGTAATGTTGTATTATGTTAACTGATATTCAGATAGTCGCAGGAAATAATATATGAGAACTTTGTAGAATGACATTTTTAAAAAGGGCAAAAATCAGAACCAGAAATAAGATTTTTTAAGAAATAAGACTTTTTTAGAAAGGCCAGTCTCACCCAATTTAAGCTCTTCCTCTTATCCTCCATGTTAGGATGGCTCCAAAGTAGGCTAGCATTAAATTTAATTAAAGTTGTGTTTAAAAGATAAATATTTTTTGTTGTAAAGATTTCTGTGATCTCAAAGTAACAGGAGATATAATATAAAACTTTGTTTTGGGTACAGGTTCTCACTGAGTTGCTTAGCACCTCAATAAATTTCTGTGGCTACCTTTGAACTCGTGATCCTCCAGTCTCAGCCTCTTGAGAAGCTGGGATTACACACGTGCACCACCACACCTAGTGATATTTAAGTAAAGGTTTACATAGCCTGCACGGTGGCTATGTAATCCGAGAGGCTGAGACAGGAGGATTGAGAGTTCAAAGCCAGTCTCAGCAACAGTGACGCACTAAGGAACTCAGTAATATAAAATAGGGCTGGGATGTGGATAAGTAGTCAGAGTGCCCTGAGTTCAATTCCTGAAACACCCCACAAAAAAAAAAAAAAAAAAAAAAGTTTAGGTAAATTGTAAAGGGTAGTTAGGTTGGTAAAAGTGTGTGTGTGTGTTTTAATTTAATATGTGTGTGTGTGTGTGTGTGTTTTGTTTTAGTTATAGATGGACACAATATTTTTATTTTATTTATTTATTTTTATATGATGTTGAGGATCCAACCCAGTGCCTTACACTTGCTAGGCAAGTGCTCTACCACTGAGCCACAACACTAGCCCAGTAAAAGTCCAGTTGTAGCTCAGTGGTAAAGTGCTTGCCTAGCATGTGTGAGGCACTGGGTTTGATTCTCAGCACCAGATACAAATAAATAAAATAAAGGTCATTGGACAACTAAGAAAAAAGTAAACTTGTAGGGCTGGGGTACAGTGCTTACCATGTGTGAGCACTGGGTTTGATTCTCAGCTTTCCATACAAATAAATAAATAAAAATAAAGGTTGATCCACAACTAAGTATGTGTATATATATATATATATATATATGTGTGTGTGTGTGTGTATTTTTAAAAAACAAAAATTGTATGTAAATAAGTTAATAAACACACAGATCTTGGGCTGGGGCTGTAGCTCAGCAGCAGAGCACTTGCGTAGCATGAGTGAGGCACTGAGTTCTATCCTCAGCACCACATAAAAATAAACTAATAAAATAAATGCATTGTGTCCATCTACAACTACAAAAACAATTTTTAAAAATAGACTAAATAGACACCAAAGATATATATTAGTGTTCATTTGTATTTTCCTTGTAAAATTTTATAACTGTTGCCTATAAGTGTTTTGCAGAAATATTACTTGTAATAGAACAACCTGAGCTAATTTAAGACAGTAAGCCATCACCTACAGGACAGATAGGATATAATGCTGGCTTCCAGTTCTAATACTGATCCCAATTAAATGAAAGAGACAACTGTAAAATTATAGATATTTAAATTATAACCTGTTATTCCCACTTTAGGACCTGTGAGCTGGGTGTGGTGGCACACTCCTGTAATCCAAGTGGCTTGGGAGACTGAGTTCAAAGCCAGCCTCAGCAACTTAGTGAGGCTCTAAGCAACTCAGAGAGACCCTGTCTCTAAGTAAAATATAAGAGCAGGGGTTATGGCTCAGTGGTAGAGTTCTTGTGTATGTATAAAATACACACACACACACACATGAATAAGGGGTGGTAGGAAAGAATGAAAGAATTTTGGATTGTGTAGAGGAGAGTGAGGGGAGGGGTGAGGCAGTGGGGATGGGAAGGAATGAGACATTATTACATTATATACATGTATGATTATCCTATTGGTATAACTCAGTACAATGTACAGCCAGAGGGATGAAAAGTAATGCTCCATTTGTATATAATTTGTCAGAATTCATTCTACTATCATATGTAACTAATTAGAATAAAAAATTTAAAAATGAATAAAATAAAGGTATTGTGTCCATCTACAACTACAAAATATTAAAACATAAAAATTGATGAAACATAAAAAAAGGGCTGGGGACGTGACTCAGTGGTTAAGCTCCTCTGGGTTCAATTCCTGGTACCCAAAACAAAACAAACAAACAACATGGTGAAACCCACTTACTGAATATTTACTTATTAATTTATAATTATTTTTTAGTTGAGATGGATACAATACCTTCATTTTATATTTTTGTGGTGCTGGGGATAGAACCTAGTGTCTCACACGTGTAAGACAAATGTTCTACCACTGAGCTACAACCCCAAGCCCATCTGCTGGATATTTAAAACCAAAAACTTGGAGACCAAAGTCAAGAAAGTAAAATGACCTAGGAAAAAGCAGCCAATATTTTGGCCCTTTTCCTCTAAGGTCAGCCAGGACCCAGAGAATGACAGGATGCCTCCAAGGGCTCTGTAACTCCAGTAAGTCTCCAGATCTCCCCTACAGAACAGGAAGCCAAGCAGTGCACATTCTGCAAAGAGGAGGTTCACTGGAAAGGGAAATGTCTGACGCTTCAAAAGTAAGCCACATGTGGTCAGCCAGTCTCTGACCCATCCTGGCAGATGGCAGAACAGGTAGAGGAAGGCTTAAGGAGCCAAGAGTCTTCTCCTATGTTCTTCAGAATGATCTCTGAGGATTTTTAGCTGACCCTAAGAGTAGATAAGAACAAGGTTAATTTTGACCAAAGCACAGTCATACACAGACATTTAAAAGGAAAGACAATTTTTTAAAATGTTACTTAAGATCTACACTAGTGTCAGCCCTGAAAGAAAAGTGGCGCAGGACTAATCACACACACACCTGGGATAAGAGGCGGGTTTATTGTCAGGAGCCTGACAAGGCTGCTTGCAAAAAGAGAGGGACAGCAGCAACAACTCCCCTTGAATGTTACCTTTTATAGGCTAGAATTATGGCGTGCTAGGGGTGGGTTTAGTCTTGACTGACATAGTAGGCATCCCGTGTTCTTATGGAAGGCAAGTTTGTTTCTTGGGAAAGTTTTCCTATCTCTCAAAGGGGGAACAGGGAAACCAGCATGTCCCTTTATCTTCTCAAGGAGAGAACAGGAAAACCAATAAGTCCCCATCTCAGGGGCCGGTAAATTGTCTACTATTTCTCAAGGAGAGAACAATGAGAGACCAGCATGTCTCCAGGCCAGTAGGTTTTATCTCTCTACTTTCTATTTCTTGGGAATAAGAACAGTACTTACAAAGTGGGGGTGGGGAAAAGGAAGATGGCTGCAATTATGCTAACAAGCCCTACCAAAAGCAAGTAAAGCTGGAGGCTATAAAGGAAGGGTTCTTGTGTGGGAGTGCCTAATAAAAATGATCACAAAGGACACTAGAATCAAGTTTGTCCTGAGTCAATTTGAGCCTGATCTAATAGACTCCAAATCCTCCTAATCTGTAGGTTAGGATAAACCTACAGATAAACACAATCTGTTTTTCCCTTGTATGAGTTACTTTCTTCATGGTTTTAGAGACTGGCTGAAATATTTTTGTGCTAATTGTTTACAAAAATGTAATAATTCACTGTTTTTATTGTTATCCTAGCATGATACCTATCCTATGTGTGCCTTGTCCAGTCACCCATCAACTGCCACTATGGGCCTCTGGACTGCCCTGATGCTAAAAACCTTTAACTGTCCATGCCCCACGTAATAGAGAACAAGGACTTCAGGTAACTTTCCTCAACTCTGCCCTCTGTCAGCAGGCAATATGTCATCACCCATATTCCATAGAAATGAAATGTAGAAATTGACAGTGGGGAAATATAACACTGGTTCACTTTATGCTTTGAATATAACCATTGCTGCTTTGCCACTGCAATTTTTTTTTTTTTTTTTTTTTTTGGTATTGCGGACTGAACTCAGGGGCACTTAACCACTGAACTCCTCCCGCATGTACCTCAATTAAAGGTGATGCCTCTTCTATAGTTGCTAAGGCCCAAAACAGGAGTATCACTCCCTAACCTCCCTGTCACATATGTCATCTTCTATTCATTTACAATTCCTTTAGGTTTTCCTTTACAATATATCCAGAATCTAAAAACTTCTTACCATGGCATCTCCTCTGCCATGTCCTGTCCAAGTCAATATTTCTGGCCATGGCTTTAAGCCTCCTCAAATCTCTCTTGTTTCTTCCTTGTTCCTTACAATCTATATTCACCAATAGTTAGAGTGAATCTGTTAGCTCAGAGTCAGATCTGCTCAGAACCTTGCAACAACTCCCATTTCCTTCGGAAAAGAGGCTGATGCCCTCACAGTGAAGCATCAAGTCTTGATGTGCTTCTTTTTACTTCTATCCTCAATAGTTCCTCCTCTCCTCCTCTGTGATTCCTCATACAGGCCAAGCACAAACCACCTCTGGCTTTTGCATTTTCTTTTTCCCCTGCCTGTAAAGTCTCTGTTCCTCTACCCTGTATCTATGCATAGGACTCACTTCCCCTACTTTCTCAGATCTTGGATACAGTCACCTTAAAGAGATCCTCCCTTACTCAACCAGTTAAAATTGCAAATTACTTGTTTCACACAACTCTTCCCGGTTTTTTTCTCTAGAGCGGCTTTTACCGTCTGATACACTACGCATTTTTCATTTGTCTTTGTTAGGATGTGTAAACTCTACAGGGCAGAAATACGTTTACTGCGCTTCCAGGACCTGGAAGAGTGCCGGGCACGACAGCAGGGTGCAAGAGACCTTTGTGTAGTGAGTAAACGAATGTGAGTCCAAAAGCCCTGCGAAATAAACACTTAACCCCTAGGAGGAATAACCACAACAAATATTACTCCTACCGCGCGAAGGTCAGTCACACCCAAGCCACGCCCGTTAAGGCGGGGCCGCAGCCGGAAGCAGCATCTTGACGGAAGCTCCGCTAGTCCAACTGGGCCCTCCTCCTGACCTGCCCCGGCTCATGCCCCGCCTAATCTAAAGTAGGTGAAAGGTCTGCGGCACTGGTGCTGCAGCTAGGGCGCCAGAGCAAGACTGCCAGGAACTGACAGGCAGACTGACGGACGGACTGACCATGGCAGACGAGCCAAAGACTATCAGCCCGCTCAAGAACTTTGTGGCTGGCGGCTTTGGCGGCGTGTGTCTGGTGTTCGTGGGGCATCCTCTGGACACCGTCAAGGTGAGGGGAGGTTGGGGCGCGGGCTTGGGGAGGAGGCCTGAAGAGGGCTCAGAAAGTGTTCTTGGCGAAGCTCTGCCCCTGGATAGAAGTGGGGGCCCATATGAGCTTCCGAGAAAGGTCTAGAGACTCCCTTTCAGGAGTGGGCGGAAGCTGTACCTAGCGCCCCAAAGAGCCAGACTGCGCAAAATGAGCAGCCTTGAACTGCTTTTTCAGGAGCTCTTATTTAAAGGTCTCTGTCCCGCAGTCTTCTGACCCCGGGCCACTGCTTCTTGGATGGAAAAGAGAAAGCGGCTTTCTAAAGCCCTGGTTTTATCATCAAGGTTGAAACAGGTCCCTTGTAAAGCCCGTCCCAGGAGGACAACTAAAGACAGTGGTATGGTCATTCTGGAGATGTCATTTGACACACTACCCTGGGACCAGAGTGCTTCATCTCTATTTCTTTTGCATCTTTCCCTGCTCAACAAGGCATTTTCACTCTGTGACCCACAGTAGCCTCCATACTATACTGTGTAGAGATTCCCCTGTGGGAAATAATGAGATCCTCAATGGCTAAGCCCTTTCCAAGGAAAACAGATGTCCAGCTTTACCAAGGGCCAAGCTAATCCATAGGCTAATGCTCAAAACTCCCTCGTGAAAAGACTGGGGGTACCTCAGTAGTAGAGCCTTCATGAATAAGGCCCTGGGTTCAATTCCTAGAACTGTGAAAAAACAAACAAAAGTTCTCCAGTGAGGAAACCATGGTCAAAGTCTCCATGAGAGAGGAGACTTATCCTTTCCTCTGTCTTTTTTACATCACTTCTCAACTCTTCCCCTTGCAACACTTTAAGCAAGTCCTTGCTGGAGACCAAAGTCCACGTCCTGTGACTTTGCATTTGAAACTTTATCCTAGTTTTCTAACTTTATTTCTTAGACACAGACTTGAAGGAAAATGACAGGTCATGGCCAGGGTGGACCTGTGGGCAGCAGACAGGTGTCTTATAGAAACCTACATGTGTGGGGTTTGTTAGGATGTTGGATCCAGTTTCTTTCTCCTTCCTTCCTTTCAGTAGTCTTGGCAATAGGTTGTATGATGTCTTTCAAGAGGGAAACTGCCCTGAGGTAGAGCTTGTGCTGGGGTCATTCTATGACCAGGTTTAAAGCAGCTGGGCTGGTTAGGGCATTGTGCAACATGAAATCATATGTTTATTCAGCACATGGTAAATACAGTGTGTGTTGGTGCTTCTCAGACAATGGTATATAGGGCCTTAAAAAATAAAAGGCCCTTGGGCTGGGGCTGTAGCTCAGTGGTGGGTGGAGCACTTGCCTACCATGTGTGAGGCCCTGGGTTCAATTCTCAGCACCACTTATAAATAAAGTAAAATAAAGGTCCATTGACAACTAAAAAAAATTAAAAAAAAAAAAAGACCCTTATTTACTGCCTTATGTATATATTGCTTCTATCTCCCTATCCTCTTGTTCTTGATATTACTCCCAGGAAGGGCCCAGTGACCTCTGTACTGAATTGTAAGTGACTGAAAATACTCCTTGGCATTTTGACATTCAGAAAGTCTCTTTTTCATTAAATCAAATCCACAAATTGCTGACTGTTCTCCTTTTGGCTTCAGAAAGTTAAATTGGCCCAACTAAAACCTAACCTTGAAGTACTTTCAGGGGTTCAAGGCAACTGACCTGTGGCCCATATATCCTAATAAGCCAAGAACTGCAATACCACAGAGATGGGACCTGGGAAAATTCTTTTTTTTTTTTTTTAATTTTTTATTGTTGGTTGTTCAAAACATTACAAATTTCTTGACATATCATATTCCACACTTTGATTCAAGTGGGTCTAGGAAAATTCTTAAGGCAGATATTGAAGAGCTGGCTGAATTCTGACTGAAAGAGTAGAGAGACCCAGACAATTTGGCATGGGAAGGTATCTTACTCCATTTTATGCTACTGTAGCAGAATCTCTGAGACTAGGTAATTTATAAAGAATAGAGATTTATTTCTTATAGTTTCAGAGCTAGGAGGTTCAAGATCCAGGGGCCCACATCTAGCCAGGGTCTTTGTACATGGCAGAAGGTGGAAGGGCAAGAGCGCAAGAGATTGAACTCAAGCCTTGAGCCTTTCTGTAGTTGGCATTAATCCATTTATGAGGGTGAAGCCTTCATGATCTAAACACCTCCTATATGGTTTATATGCCTTTGGATTAAGTTTCTAAGATATGTTTTTGGCAAGAGTGAAGGCAAATGTGGGCTTGAAGTAGGTAGGGTGTCAGAATGTAAAATAACACCAACTGAGGACTTTAAAATTCTCACTGGTTGGGATGGCTGGTGTCATAATGACAGGTATAAGGTTTATTAAAAAAAAAAAAAAATCAGGCGCAGTGATGCATACTTGTAATCCCGACAGCTCAGAAGGCTGAGACAGGAGTATCTCAAGTTCAAAGCTAGCCTCAGCAAAAGTGAGGTGCCAAGCTACTCACTGAGACCCTGTCTCTAAATAAAATAGGGCTAAGGATGTGGCTCAGTGGTCGAGTACCATTGAGTTCAATCCCCAGTACCCCCCCCCAAAAAAAAAATCAAAAAAGACTATCAATCAGAAATCCTGTTTTTTAAAAAAATTGAACTCAAAACTTTTTGCATGCTAAGCAAGCACTGGCTCAAGTCAGTTTTTGATCCACTTGGCTCACCTTGGAAGTTATAGCTGACCATAAAGAATCTGAAAGCCAATATAAGAGATTCTGGATAAAAAATAATGGTAGCCTCTGTACATTTCTACTGTTCTATACCATAAACCCAGACTTGCATGTTACCTTTATTACCTAGAGAATGACTTCTGTATACTGTGGCCTGGAAGGCCCTAACAAATGTATCAGTGAAAGATTCTAAAGAAATAAAGGGGGCTGGAGTTGTAGGTCAGTGGGAAAGCACTTGCCTAGCATGTGTGAGGCACTAGATTTGATTCTCAGCACCACATATAAATAAATAAAGTAAGGTCTATTAAAACTAAAAAAATATATATATATTTAAAAGAAAGAAAGAAAAAAGGAATAGCCAGGTTTGGTAGCACACACATATAATCCCAGAGATTTGGTAGGCTGAGACTAGAGGATGGCAAGTTTGAGACCAACATGTTAAAAAGGATGTTTTAGAAAGGTTAGTATGGTGGTATGCTTAAGAAGGATTTAAGCGGAATAGTGAGCAGGAAAAAAACTACAGAAGTAACTGGGTGCATCAGTTATTTATTGAACTATAACAATTTAACCCAAAACTTAGTGGGTTAAAACAATAATTACTCATCAACTCTCACAATCTTTGTGAGTCAGATTTTTAGGGAGCACCTTGGGTAGATTGGTCTGGCTTAGGGTTTTGTGTTTTTTTTTTAGTTGTAGATGGACACAATATCTTTTATTTATTTTTATGTGGCTCTGAGGATCGAATCCAGTGCCTCACAGGTGCAAGGCAGGTGCTCTACCACTGAGCTACAGCCCCAGCCCTGGTTTAGGGTCTTTTTTGAGGCTGTAATCAAGAAGTTGGCTGGCATCCATAGCATATAAAGAACACTTACGACTCAATAATGAAAAGATAAATAATCAAATTAAAAATGGGTGAAAGATCTAGACATTTCTCCTAAGAAGATGAACCAATGACCCATGAACACATGAAAAGATGTTCAACATCATTATGCATCATGGAAATGCAGTGAGAAGCCAGATGTGGTGGTCCAAGCCTGTAATCCCAGCTACTTAAGAGGCTGACACAAGAGGATAGCAAGTTGAGGCTAGCCTGGGCAACTTAGTAAGATCCTGTCTCAAAATAAAAAAATAAAAAGGACTGCAGATATAATTTAGTCATAGAGCATTTGCCTAACATGTGTGAAACCTGGGGATTCAAGCCTTAAAACTGAAAAAACAACAAAATACCCAGCAATAATCACAATGAGATACCCCACCCACTATATACCTCACCAACTACGATGGCTATAGCTATAATTTTAAAAATAATAAAGTGTTGATGAAGTTGTAGAGAAATTGGAACCCTTGTAAGCTGCTGGTGGGGATATAAAATGATGAGGCTATTAGGGAAAACAATCTGATGGACCCTCAAATGCTTATAAAGAGGAACTGGGTATGTAGCTCAGTGGTAGAACATGAACTCCACATACCCCCAGGTCCTGGATTCAATCCTCATCATGCATGCACACACACACACACACACAAAAGTTAAATAGCATTAACATATGATCCAAAATTCTAATCATAGATGAATATCTGAATACCTGTGATGGTTAATTTTGTGTGTCAAATTTACTGAATCTGGGGCTAGGGATGTGGCTCAAGCGGTAGCGCACTCGCCTGGCATGCGTGCGGCCGGGTTCGATCCTCAGCACCACATACAAACAAAGATGTGTCCACGGAAAACTAAAAAATAAATATTAAAAAAATTCTCTCTCTCTCTTTAAAAAAAAAATTTACTGAATCTTATTGTACCTAGATATTTGATCAGACATTATTCTGGGTGTGAGGGTGTTTTTGGACATTAACATTTGAATAGTAGAGTGAATAAAGCAGATCTGCACTCCCTAATGTAGGTGGACCTTGTCCAATCAGGTGAAGGCCTGAATAGAAAAGTCTGTTAAAGGAAGCTGCTCCTGTATGCCTGCTTGAACTGAGACATCAGACTTTTCCTGCCTGCAGACTCATACTGAAATATTGGATCTTCTTGGGTCTCTAGCTTGATGATGGCAGATCTTGGAACTTCCCAGCCTCCATACTGGCATGATCCAATTCCTTATAATAAATCTCTTGAGTTATATATCTCCTATTTGTTCAGTTTCTCTAGATAACACTGACCAATATGTACCCAAGAGAATTGAAAACATATCCATATAAAAACATCCATATAGATACATGAATATCTATAACAGCATTACTGGCACACACATTTATAATTCCAATATTAGAAAGCTGAGGCAGGGTGATCCCTTGAGCCCAGGAGTTCAACAATAGGAGACACGCATTCTCCAAAAAAAAAAAAAAAAGGTAAAAACACAATTGTTTATCAACTGATAAATGGATATACAAAATGTGATATACAATAGGATATTATTTGCCAATAAAAAAGAATCAGGCGGGAGATTTGAATGGAAGGCGACACTAGCTCCTCCTTGGCACGCTGCCCATGCGCTGTCGCCTCCTCTGTCGCTCAGTAGACAGCCAGCCTTTAACTCCCAAACCTTGGGACGCTCCGGGCCGATGAGGCGCCCCGCCCCCTCACCAGCCCCCGCTGCAGCGAGCCTCCTTGGGTTCTTCCTCGGTCAATATAGTCGGTGAGAATTGGCTGGATTAATGAGCAAAAAGCTGCAGAAGAACACAGACCTCTTAATAAGAAACTACCCCTACAGCCGCCTGGCAATAGAAATATGTATGAAATTCACACGTGGTGAGTACTCCAGATGGCAAGTCCAAGTCCTGTTAGCCCTTAAAGAGGCGGCAGAAGCAGTTTTAGTTCACCTCTTTGAGTTCATCCTCCTCTCCTCTTCCCCAAGGAGGTGCAGCTGGCCAGGAGGATCTGCAGCATTGAAGAAGGACTTTGCTGAACTCCTGCAGCTTTGGCTCTGGATGTTACTGGACTCTCTGGAGCTACACCTAGACGAGTGGTGTCTGAGGTCCTGCCTGGATTTTGCTCTCTCTGAGCAGTGTGTGCCTGTTGCCCTTTAAATTTTCTTTATGAAGGAGAAGACTGCCTGTTTTCTCTGTAGCAGAGGTATTATAGGAGACATTTAACACAGTTTCAAAGACCTGAAAAGACTTAGTTGGTATGTTACTCATATGATTCTTAAAGGATTTTGAAGACATCAATCTGCTATGTTATAGAAAAAGGATATTTATTATTTTAGATCTTTCTGTACTATATGCATTTTTTTTAAAGAGAGAGAGAGTAGAGAGAATTTTAATATTTATTTTTCAGTTTTTGGCGGACACAACATCGTTGTTTGTATGTGGTGCTAAAGATCGAGCCTGGGCTGCACGCATGCCAGGCAAGCGCGCTACCGCTTGAGCCACATCCCCAGCCCCTGCATTTTTTTTACCATATGTATATTTGTACTTTTATTGAAAATGTAATGGAAAAGAGCACTTCCATTTGTTGCATGAAAGGTTCCAACTCTCCTCACGTACAAATATCTGCCTTCCAGATTAATATCATTAGTGCCTTCAACAATGTGTTGCTTTTAAAAATTAAATTGGGAGTTGAAATAGAAATAATTTTTTTGTTTGGTTTGGTTTTGGTGTTAGGGATCAAATCTAGAACCTTGTACATGCTAAGCATACACTCTACTCCCAGCCTGAAATTTCTCTGATTCCTCCTAGCAAATTCCAATCAAAATAATTCAGAAATTCTATCTTATAGAATTTAGCATTTTATTCTTAGTTATAAATTATAGATATATCCATTCAAGATTTTATTTTATTTTTTAAAATATTTATTTTTTAGTTATAGGTGGACACAGTATCTTTATTTTATTTGTATGTAGTGCTGGGGATAGAACCCAGTGCCTCGTGCATGGTAGGTGAGTACTCTACCTCTGAGCCACAGTCAAGATTTTATTTTATTCTAATTAAAATTTTTTTTTTTTTAGGGGCTGGGGATGTAGCTCAGTTGGTAGAGTGCTTGCCTCACATGCACAAGGCCCTGGGTTCAATCCCCAGCACCACAAAAAAAAAAAAAAAAAAAAAAAAAAAAAAAATTTTTTTTTAGTACTCGGGTTTGAACCCAGGGGCACTTGACCACTGAGTTACATCACCAGCCCTTTTTATTTTTTATTTTGAGATAGGCTCTCACTAAATTGCTGAGGTTGGCCTTGAACTTGTGATCCTCCTGCCTCAGCCTTCCAAGTGTCTGGAATTATAGGCGTGTGCTGACAAGGTACCCATCATCAAGCCTGGATTTTTTTTTTTTTAATATTTATTATTTATTATTTATTTTTTTAGTTTCGGCGGACACAACATCTTTGTTTGTATGTGGTGCTGAGGATCGAACCCGGGTCACACGCATGCCAGGCGAGCGCGCTACCGCTTGAGCCACATCCCCAGCCCTAAGCCTGGATTTTTTTTAATAAATATTTTTTAGTTGTAGTTGGACACAATACCTTTATTTTATTTATTTTTATGTGGTGTGAGGATCGAACCCAGGACCTCACACGTGCTAGGCAAGCACTCTACCACTGAGCCACAACCCCAGCCCCATCAATCAAAGATTTTAAAGAGTTATTTCAATGTTTTTACAATTTTTACAATGTTTCTTCTTTGTGGAGAAATAATAAAAATAATTCTTTAATGAAAAAGTTAAAATGAAGTTATTGTTTTAGCACACAAAGATTATACCATATTTTTGTATATTAAGTTCCTCAGTTGCACACCATTTGCAAATAGCCACAATGAAAACAAGATAATCAAGGGATGTGGTTTTGCCTCTGGAGTAGAAAGGAATGGATAAAAAAAAACCCTGTCCTTCTGTTACTAATGCAATTTAAGAGCTTTCCAGAGAAATGGGAAATGCCACCCAAAGATCTGAGAAACTGTGAGTGATGAAAATGAGTAGTGAGTGCAGATTACTAATAATGAGGTGTTGGTCAGCTAAATTCAGAGACAGACCAAAGGGAAGCACCGAATTTTACTTTCAATAAATTTTAGCCCTTTGTAAAAACTTCTTCTCATTTGACATCAAGTATATTTATACAGACATTTGAATAAAGCTTATCTATCCATGAATATATTTAGTGTTCTTGTCAGAGTATCATTGATTAGAAGATTACAGATTTTCTCTAGTTTTTTTTTTAACATTTATTTTTTAGTTGTAGTTGGACACAATACCTTTGTTTTATTTATTTATTTTTATGTGGTGGGGAAGATCGAACCCAGGGCCTCTCACACAGTAGGTGAGCGTTCTACCACTGAACCACTACCCCAGCCCTCTAGTTTTCTTTGACACTTCTTTGCTCTTGAAATTGTACTTAGTGGTATTTCACTACAATACATAAACATCATACTCAAATGCCAGGCAGGACTTGTGCTTTCTGCATCACATAGTATTTGTATAATAACATGAGAATAAGTAATTTACATCATGATGTTACATAATGTTACAATTTACTGTAAAAAAAAGAAATGAAATACTAATGAAATAAAAGAGATGTCCCAATTTATAGGTTAAGGGAATGCTAAAGACATGTACAGAGGTGCAAATTTCCCTGTTCAGTTTGATAGACAGTGGGGCCATTGCCACAGACAGATAGATATGATTCTGGAGGGTAATTTATTTTAACTTCTGGTTTCAGGTCCGACTGCAGACACAGCCACCAAGTTTGCCTGGGCAGCCACCTATGTACTCTGGGACCATTGACTGCTTCCGGAAGACTCTTATTAGAGAGGTATGATATCTGGTGCTGGCCATTCCTCTTACTCATAGGAACACATTCAAGGAATTGTTTTGTTAACCCCTCCCCAGGTGATAGGACAGCTTTGATTGTGCTGGAGATCTGTTCCACATGCTAGGATATAGGTATTCTATTATTATCTGTTCTGTAGTCATTGGTAATTTCAGCTACTGTTCTATACAGATGAGTGAAGTCAATAAAATGTTTCTGTTTTGTAAGGCACCATTGAGAACTAGGAATAACTGAAGATATGAAATGGATGGAAATCACATTTGAGTCAATCAGTTTGACAGGGCTCCATATCAGAAGTGCATGTGAAGTACAGAGGAAAAGTCAGCCCATCTTTGAAACATAGAGATAAACAGAGTTTCCATAACCCTAGACAGAGACATTTGATTGGTTTGGAATTATTTGATTATATACCACAGAGCCACAACCCCAGCCGAGAATTCTTATTTTTTATTGAAGTGATAAAGGCCCTTAATTCTTTATTGAAAGGCTTATAACCAAGTAACAGAGTGGTCTTTATCTCTTCTCATTCTCCAGAGGTAGCTACTTTTAGTTCTTTCAGTTATTTATGTTGTTTTTACCTATTTATAATACACATTCACTACTGTATTTTATTTACCTTTACATATCTATCTATATCTATATCTATATTTATCTATATATAAATTTTTTAAACTGGGGATTGAACCCAGGGGTGCTTAACCACAGAGCCACATTGCCAGCCCTTTTATTTTTTATTTTAAGACAGGGTCTTGCTAAGTTGCTTAGGACCTTGCTAAGCAAGCCTTGTTAAGCTGGCCTGAAATTTTCTTTTTCTTTTTTTCTTTCTGGGTTTATGTTTGTTTGTTTGTTTTGGGGGAGATTGAACACAAATGTGCTTAACCATTCAGCCATACCCCTGGCCCTTTTTATTTTGTATTTTAAGACAGGGTCTCACTAAGTTGTTGAGGGCCTTGTTAAATTGCTGAGCCTGGCTTCAAATATACAATCCTCCTACCTCAGTCTCCCAGTTGCTGGGATTATAGCCATGTGCCATCATGCCTGGCTGGCCTTGAACTTTGAAGTCTCCTGCTTTAGCCTCCTGAGTTGCTGAGCTTATAGGTGTGTGCCACCATGTCCTGCTTTTTTATACATTTTGAATGTATTTTAGCTACCTATTAGTGTTAGATTATATTATTATTTTTTAAATTTATTTTTCAGTTTTAGGTGGACATAATATCTTTATTTTACATTTATGTGGTGCTGAGGTTCAAACCCAGGGCCCCATGCATGCTAGGCTAGCACTCTACCACTGAGCCACAATCCCAGCCTAGAGTTAGATTATTTTAATTCTTATACTTTCTATCCCTTCTTTCTGCCCCCTTGCCCATCCATATAATTTTATCACATTTTGTCTTTTATTTCAATCTGCTTTTTTGTTCTTGTTGCTGGGGATTGAACCCAGTGCTTCAGGAATACTAAGATGATTAGTATTTTCTATCACTGATTCATGATTCACAAATCACTATTTTCATTATTATAGTTTTATTTTTAAAAATTTTTTTGTAGTTATAGCTGGAGAGCATGTGTTTATTTTATTTATTTTTATGTGGTGCTAAGGATCGAACCCAGTGCCTCACATGTGCTAGGCAAGCACTTTGCCACTGAGCTACAGCCCCAGCCCTTCATGATTTAGTTTTATACATTTTTTTCTTTTAATCAAGTAATGTTCTATGGTATGGATGAAGACATCCCTTGTACAACTTTTTGTTTCCCATGGGATTGGATTAGTAATTCTGTGTCAATTTCCTTTGCTTCTTGTTCTTTTTAATTTTTTAATTGACACAGCAAAATTGTATCTATTTATGGGGTACCATATGAAATTTTTTTTTCTTCTTCTTCTTTTTTTTTTTTTTTGGTGGGGTTCTTTTTTGTCTTTTCTTTTTTGGAACTGGGAATCAAACCCAGGGCTTCACATATGCATGGTAAGTGCTTTGCCGCTGATCTACATCCCAGTCCCCATGTGAAATTTTGATACATGTATACATTGCATAATGTTCAAATCACAGTGAGTATCTATTTCCCCTCAAATATTAATCATTTTTTGAATTGCTTGTCTTTTGTCATTCTGTATCCTAAATGCTCCATCCTGGAGTCTTCCATTCTTCTACTCCTGTGTGAACTGGCTGCTTCTCAGGTCTACCATACCTAGTGACATTCTATAAATCTACTTCAACTCCCTTGGACTGGATCCTTAGTCTCCCAAATCCCAGGTGTTCTTCTTCCTGGGTTTATTATCTTGTTAGGTTGTGATAGCTAATTTTCTGCCTAATTAATTAATGATGATTTTTTTCCCTTTTTTTTTTTGTACTGGGGATTGAACTCAAGGGTACTCAACCACTGAACCACATCCCCAGCCCTATTTTGTATTTTATTTAGGATCTCACTAAGTTGCTTAGTGCCTTGCTTTTGCTGAGGCTGGCTTTGAATTCTTTTTTTTTATATATATATATTTTTAGTTGTCAATGAATCTTTATTTATTTATATGTGGTGCTGAGAATCGAACCCTGTGCCTCACACATGCCAGGCAAGTGTTCTACCACTGAACCACGTTCCCAGCCCTGGCTTTGAACTCTTGATCCTCCTGTTTCAGCCTCCTGAGAGGCTGGGATTATAGGTGTATGTCACCATGCCCGGCTGTCTAATCATTTATTTATGTATTTTAAAATATTTTTTTAGTGTAGTTGGACACAATGCCTTTATTTTATTTATTTTTATGTGGTGCTGAGGATCGAATCCAGCACCTTGCTTGTGCTAGATGAGCACTCTATTGCTGAGCCACAACCCCAGCCCCTGTCTAATTATTTATTGCCTACTACATAGTTACTTTCATTACCACACTGTACTCATGAAAATTGATGTGCAGTCTGGACAAAAATCACATCTTTTATTTTTTATTTTTTTAAAGAGAGAGAGAGAATTTTTAATATCCATTTTTTTAGTTTTCAGTGGACACAACATCTCTGTTTGCATGTGGTGCTGAGGATCGAACCGGGCCGCACGCACGCATGCCAGGCGAGCACGCTACCGCTTGAGCCACATCCCCAGCGCCCCCCAAAATATCACATCTTAATACTCAGAAAATACAGAGAACTGAAGTGTAGCTCATTATTGGAATGTGTGTTTTGTATGTATGAGGTAGTAGGTTTAATCCCTAGTACCACCAAACATCAAAACTACCTTGGAAAATACAAAAATTTCTTTCTTTTTTATTTTTCTTTTGCCACCAGGGAATGAACCCAGGGGTACTTTGCCACTAAGCTATATCATCAGGCCTTTTCATTCATTTTTAATTTTGAGTCAGTTTTGGTAAGTAATTGAGGGTCTTGCTAAATTGTTGAAGCTGGCCTCAAACTTTCTATCTTCCTGCCTCAGCCTTCTGAGGTGCTGAGATTACAGGTGTGTACAACTACATCTGGCACAAAAATTTCTTAATCACTTGTAATATCATCCCCAAGGAAATCAGATAACATTGTACTTCCTATTTTGTAGCTCACCCACCCCCCCCCCACCCCCCCGCTTAATAAAAGCCTTTCATATCACAATGTGATTTTATGGCTGCGTGATAGTTCATTTATGGTATTCTTATTTGGCAGCTGTTAAGTTTTTTCCAAAAATTTCTTTCTTTCTTTCCTTTTTTTTTTTTTTGGTACTAGGGATTGAACTCAGAGGCCATCAACCACTGAGCCATATTCCAAGCCCTTTTTTGTGTTTTATTTAGAGACAGGGTCTCACTGAGTTGCTTAGTGCCTCACTGTTGCTGAAGCTGGCTTTGAACTCAGGATCCTCCTGCCTCTGCCTCCTGAGCCGCTGGGATTACAGGCATGGGCCACTGCACCCAAATGATGTCATTCTTTTCACATCTGAGTTTTTTTCTTTGTTTCTTGTTTTGCAGTTTTGGGGATTGAACTCAGAGATACTGTACCATTGAGACACATCCTCAGCCATTTTATTTTCAATTTTGACATAGGGTCTTGCTAAATTGCCAAGACTGGCCTGAATTTTTAATCACTCTGCCTCAGCCTCCTGAGAGTCACTGGGATTACAGGCATGTGTCTGTAGTACTTCTTTAAAGCAAATTCTAGAGGGAGAATTTCTGGGTAAAAGGGTATGCTATGTTACTAATTGCCAGATTGCCTTCTAGAATGGAAACTATTTCTGGCTTCTGCAGTGTAAAGAAGAATTATTTCTGATACATGTGTGTATTTTCTTCCTTTTAAAAGTTCTTCTTTATAGAAGATAAGGAAGCCACAGGTTAGAGGTCACAGCTTTCCTGTTTTAGTGATATAAAAAGTAGAGGTATCTGTAAACAATTTCTGCTTCTGTGATTCCTTACAGGGTATCACGGGGCTATACCGGGGCATGGCTGCCCCTATCATTGGGGTCACCCCTATGTTTGCTGTATGCTTCTTTGGGTTTGGTTTGGGGAAGAAACTACAACAGAAGTCACCAGAGGATGTACTCAGGTGAGTACTCACAGGCCTAGTACACTTGATGCTATTCTGCTTGGTGGTTTGACATGAGGTAAAGGAAAGTTTCTTGACGAATGGGCAGTGGCTGTCTAATGGTCTCTCAGGACTGACTCCTAAGAGTTCCTAAAGGGAAAAGGAAGAAAAAATCCCTTCCCTACCAGATTGTCATGTCTTATATGAGGTAATATGGATTACTGGGGATCTTAGTGAAAACAACTATACATGCAATTGGGAGGTCTGAATGCTAAAATATGTGTAAAATGCTGTGAGAAGAACCTGGTATGGTTGTAACTACAGCAGCAAGCCTTGCTTTCTGTCACTTGGTTGAAGAACTTTTGTTTTATTTCATTTTTATAATGCAATTATAATATGATTGTGATTACAAATAATTTCTTATGAAAGTGAAATAAGTTAAGTGTATTTTTTAATAGTACTAGGAATTGAACCCAAGGATTCTCTACCACTGAGCTATATCCTTAGCCATTTTTATTTTATTATTTTGAAATAGTATCTTGCTAAGTTGCTTAGGCTGGCCTCAAAATTATAATCTTCGTCCTTCAGCCTCCTGAATTGCTGGGTTTATAGGTATGCCCAGCAGGCCTAGTGTAAAGTATATTCAAAGAAAATCCACTAAACCAGAGTGGTACTGCATGCCTTTTATCCCAATGAATCAGAGACTGAGGCAATAGCATCACAAGCTCAAGGTTTACTGGAGCAACTTAGTAAGGCCTTGACTTGTTAAATAAAATTGAAAAGGGCTGGGGATGTTATTCAGCGATAGAGTGCTTGTCCAGCATGTATGAGGCCCTAGGTTTAATACCCAGTACTACAAAAAAACAAAAACAAACTTTATGAAGTTGAATTGAGTCATAAAGAGGCAGCAGAATCAGAATAATAGCTCAAAAATTTAAAATCTTCTAATGAAAACAGATGGGTGTCTCAAGATGCAAGGGAATTCTGAGTGGAAACTTGGGTTGATAATGTCCACGTAATCTGAGGCATGCGGGTGACAACCTCTGGGAGGACTGCAGCCAGTACAGGAACCACTGAGGCTGGATAGGCTTGGCATCTATGAGCTCAAGGGAGGAATCCCTATGTGCCATGTGGTTGATTCTGTCACCATTTCAGGTCATGGTGGGCTGAGTGACTGGCTAGTATATAGATAGTGGTTCTTGTAACAGGAAACTATTTCTGGTGTTCATGTGATCCTCGGAATGTGCCATGCTTCTATAAATAACCACAATGGCTACCAAATGTGAGGGGTTATTTTGAAGCTGTTTGACTATTGGTAGTCCAAGTGTTTCATGGACACATGTTCAATCTGAACACCTGGTCTTCTAGCATATGTACCTATTCACAAGCTGTACCAGGACCATGCCTATGGGCTGTATTCCTGTACATCAGCTGTCAGAGAAATAACCTGTGCCTGAACAAACCTGAAGACACTCAAGACATCACCTGCATAATCCTGTCAGCCCTGCTGTATTCACCTTTTTTCCAGTGGTATTTGGGGATGATGCAGAAAGGAGTGTTACCAGAGCCTTGGGGTAGAAGCTCAGAACGGCCCAGTACTCATAGTTCCCTCCCTGGGATGGGAGTAGGGAGTGAATGACCGAATAGGCCAGGTGATCATAGTGTCCACAAGGTGCCCTGTGCACATAAAGAGATCCCATCCAGGGCAAAGTCAAGTCCTCTGTCCCAGGATATAAGGTGTGTCCAGCCTAGGGTTGGGCATTCTGAAAAGAATGGAGCACGTTGGTCTTAAAGAGGAAATTTAGTTGCTGAGAGGACTCCTCTAAGGACAACAGTGTAAACCAGAATTTTTTGTTTTGTTTAGTTTCATGGATTGAACCCAGGGGCATTTAACCACTGAGCAATGCCTCCAGTCCTTTTTATTTTTTTATTTTGAGATAGGGTTTCGCTAAGTTGTTTAGGGGCTCCCTAAGTTGCGAAGGCTGGCTTTGAGCTTATTATTCTCCTGCCTCAGCCTGCCAAGTCATTGGGATTTCAGGAAAATGCCACTGTGCCTGGCTAAAGTACAACTTTGGAACTGGCTATGAATGAAAGCAAGTCTCTTGTCTGTTCAATAGTCAGCCTATATGCTTACCTAGTATGTCTGAGGTAGACATGTGAGTCCTGCCTGGAATGAGTTCTTGGAAAAACAGGGCTGTGGAAGCTAAGCTGGACCTGTACATAAAGGGAAGAATCTATAGTAGATCTCTCCCAACTGCCATTTGGCATTTGTTCCCTAGGCCTTGGGTTTCTTTGGGTGGGACTGGCCTGAAGGCTCAGTTATGAGACTCTTGGGGTCAGCAGGATCTTGGGGCTCAGGCCTATGTGAAGTTTTTCAGCAATATTTGTTAAGTTGTGGAGACTATTGAAATGCTGAATGTGGTTTTGTGCCCCTTTGTCTCTAGACCACGGTGGTATTGCTATTCCCAAAGAGAAAAGAAGGTGCTAGAAGTGGCATAGACAGCTATAGTGATAGACAGTTGGAGCTTCAGGTCCTCCTCATACTCAATGTGGTGATTTTGTGGGAGCCAGAGTGAGAACCCATACCTCTGGCCCCCAGGGAACCATTCCTCACACAGGTGCTACAGGAGCCATTATCCTAATTTAGTACCATCCCTAACTTAGTCTTAATTGGCCTCTTACCATACATTCGTTGTAACTGGCCTGCCCACCGCTCAGCCTGTAGAGGTGGCCACAGACATTCATTCTTCTTGACTTTGAAGTGGTCCTGCTTGAGTCTTGGCTTAGAGCATTCTCAGGCCCTTGGTGGTCTAGGGGAAATAAGATTGGAGGGGAACAGGGGTCTCCTGAGGTCCAGATTTTGGGTTAAAGCCTTTTCCTGCCAATAGCCCAGCATTTTATAAATGGGGAATCCAGGCTCTGAGAGGCCTGGGAACTTGTTCCATAGTCACTATGGTAGTTCCAGAGGTGGAAACCATGTCATAGTATAAAGTTTTTTCCATAAATGAGGGATTCTGACTATACATTTTGTGTGAGTGGGCCTCGTGACCAGGCTCCCATTGTTCTTGCTGCTGAGATCCTTGATCTGATCTTTTTGATAACAGAATATTCTTTGGAAATTGGCTCTGTTTTTGGTCCTGGGGATTGAACCCAGGGGCACTTAACCACTGAGTCACATCTCCAGTCCTTTTTATTTTTTATTTTGAAACAGGGTCTTGCTAAGTTGTGGAAGCTGACTTTGAACTTGGGGCCTTCCTGTCTCAGCCTCCTGAGTCACTGGGATTACAGGCATATGCCTCTGGGCCTAGTAGAACTTAGATTTTATGTGAAATATGATTTATTTGTGGCTGTGCTTCTTTCCAGTACAAGTTCTTATCTTTTTCTTACAAAACATCCTCTTTGCTGGGATTGCTTTGTCTTTGGTGGTTAATCACAGGTGCTCATTTCTGGTTTTTATTTTCAATGCAGCTACCCTCAATTATTTGCAGCTGGGATGTTATCTGGTGTGTTCACTACAGGAATTATGACCCCTGGAGAACGGATCAAGTGCTTATTACAGGTAAGGGTGTGATATGTGGGGAGGCAGCTAGCTTTCTCCATTTAGTGTACAATTTTGTGTGCGTGTTTATATCCTTTTACCCTTTGAAAAGGCTTTAGGTAGTGGGCTGAGGTTGTGGCTCAGCGGTAGAGCACTTGCCTCGCATGTGTGAGGCCCTGGATTCAATCCTTAGCACCACATAAAAATAAATAAATAAAATAAATATGTTGTGTCCAACTACAATTTAAAAATAAATATTAAAAAAAAAAAAAGAAAAGGCTTTAGGTGGGTGTGTAAGACAATTTTAGAGCCGGGTACAGTGGTGCATGTCTGTCATCCCAGCCCCAGGGAGGTCAAGGCAGGAGGATTGTGAGTTCAAAGCCAGCCCCAGAAACAGCAAGACACTAAGCAACTTAGTGAGACCCTGTCTCTAAATAAAATACAAAATAGGGCTGGGGATGTGGTTCTGTGGTTGAGTGCCCCTGAATTCAATTCCTGGTACCAAAAAACAAACAAACAAAAAAACCAAAAAACAAAACAAATTTCAGTGTTTATAGGAAAATGAAAGCAATTTTAATAGAATTGAGAACCAGGGCACTACATGAAACTAAAAAAATGTCATACTGGGGCTGGGATTGTGGCTCAGTAGCAGAGAGCTTGCCTCACATGTGTGAGGCACTGGGTTTGATCCTCAGCACCACGTAAAAATAAATAAATAAAAGTATTGTGTCCATCTACAACTAAAAAAAAATGTCATATTCATGACACATCACCCCAGACCTATCCACTTTTATTAGCAGCCATTTTAGGAACTCTAAAAGGTGAGTAATGCTTCATCAGAAGTAGAAGGGAAGCTGCTCCTGCTTGAGATGTTGTGTGTCTCTGTAAACTTCCCAGAAGCCCAGTACCTTTAGTGTGTATTCCATTCTATAATTTTGTAATTTCAAGAATGTTTAAATGGAATGATAAGTATGTACTTTTCAGAACCACATTTTCAACTCAGTATAATTTTCTGGATATTTGTTCAGATTGCTGTGTATATGAATAGTTCATTCATTTTTATTGCTTCGTTGTAGTTATAGGATAGGTGGATCACACTTTAGCCATTTTTCCATAGAAGGACATCTATGTTATTTCTAGTCTGGGGCCATTTTGAAAAAAATTGGTATAACATTTATATATAGATATTTTGTGAGAAAATAACTATTTCTTTGAGATAAATGCTTTGGAGTACAATTGCTTGGTTGCATAGTAGTTTTATCTTTAGGTTCTTTTTCTTTCTTTTTTTTTAGTTGTAGATAGACATAATACCTTTATTTTATTTATTTATTTTTATGTGGTGCTAAGGATCGAACCCAGTGCCTCATATGTGCTAGGTGAGCGCTCTATACCACTGAGCCACAACCTTAGCCCCTTCCCAGCCCTTTTTATTAAAAAATAAAATGTCTTGAGACAGGGTCTTGCTAAATTGCTTTTGTTGTTGTTGTTTACTTGCATTTTGGATTGCTATGTCTTCTTAGTGGACTAATCTTTTCACCATTATATAATGTCCCTCTTATTATCATTATATAATGCCTCATATTTTGATTACCACATTATTTACTTCCTGGTATTTCAAGTTTACTTCATTAATTGTTTACTTTTGTTCAGAGAATTTCCTTTTGCCATTCCTTCTTTCTTTTTAAAAAAATATTTTATTTTTTAGTTGTGGATGGACACAATATCTTTATTTTATTTTATTTTTTATATGGTGGTGAGGATCAAACCCAGGGCCTTGCATGTGCTAGGCGAGCGATCTACGGCTGAGCCACAACCCTAGCCCTTCTTTTGCCATTATTTCAAATGTTCTTAGTTTTCTTTCATCTGAGAATGATTGATTTTTCTATTTATTTGTGAAGGATATTTCACTGGATATAGGATACTGGGTTGACAATTCTTTTTAAAAAATTTTATTTTTTAGTTATGAGTGGATATAATACCTTTATTTATTTATTTTATTTTTTATTTTTATGGGGTGCTGAGGATCGAACCCAGTGCCTAATGCATGCTAGGTAAGCGCTCTACTTCTGAGCCACAACCCCGGCCCCGACAATTCTTTTTTTTTTTAAAGAGAGAGAAAGAGAGAATTTTTTAATATTTAGTTTTCGGTGGACACACCATTTTTATTTTAGTTTTTTATGTGGTGCTGAGGATCGAACCCAGCACCCTGTGCATGCCAGGCGAGCACGCTACCGCTTGAGCCACATCCCCAGTCCGACAATCCTTTTTTTTTTAAACACTTGAAAAATACTGTGCCATTTTCTTGAGACAGAGTCCCGCTAAATTGCTTTTTTTTTGTTGTTGTTGTTGTTGTTTATATGCATTTTGGATTGCTGTGTGTACTGGCTATTTTTTTTAATCCAATATTGGGGAGTGAACTCAGGGATGCTTTACAACTGAGCTATATCCCATTCCTTTCTTTTTTTATTTTTAGAAAGGGTATCACTAAGTTGCTGAAGGTGGCCTTCACTTTACAATCCTCTTGCATCCTCTTGCCTCAGCCTCCCAAGTGGTGGAGATTCTAAGCCTCTGCTATCACTTGGCCACTTCCTTCTTATCTCCCTTTCTTCTGTCATTCAAATTGCTATTTTCCTATAGGAAAGGTGATTTTTATCCACTGCACCCCAGCTACTTTTAAGAGTTTTTTCTTTGTCTTCAGTTTTCAGAAGTTAAGTTGTGATGTTTCTTGACATAGATTTCTTTCTTTCTTTTTTTTTTTTTTTACATAGATTTCTTTAGTTTTATTTGTTTGGTATTCATTGAACTTCTTAAACTTATAAGTTTATGTTTTGACAAATTTGGGAAGTTTTCAGCAGTTATTTCAGTTCTACCCTGTGAGAGGCCAGTTTGAATGATTCACATTCTCCGTCACTACATCTCATAGTGACCTGGATACTGCCCTCGTCCCGGAAGTTTAAGAACACGTCTTCAGACATTGGCATGTCGCCCCATGGATTTAGCTATGCTCACCTCTTCCTTTGTGATACTACTCCTTTGCCCTGTTTGGGATAGAAGGTTCCATGGAATCACTTTGTGTGTCCCCTTTTATTGCTCTGCCTTTGGGTGTGGCCTTCCTAGATGTCAGTCAACCTGCTGACAGCAGACATCAGGAAGCTAGACTCAACCCCCTGAAACCTGACCTCTTGCCTCATTTGAATAGCTTCTCCTCAATAAAAGGGTTCAGCATTCGCCTGCACTCTCTCTTTTTGCAGACCCTTAAGGTCAGAGGAGCTGTCACAGGACCCCAAAGAAAAACGTATCTCTGTCTCTTATGTGGTTATTTTGTACAGCCCAGTTCCTCTGGAGTGACTTGAGTGTTTTAGTCGTGAGGAACATGACACTACCCTTTTTTTAGTTCCATCCTGTTTTCTCTTCTTCTGAAACTCTGAAGATAGAAATGTTAGGTTTTATATTATAACTTCAGAGTTCCTTGAAGTTCTGTTCAGTTTATTTCATTCTGTTTTCTTTTCTGTTGTTTAGAATGACTAATTTCCATTGTTCTCTCTTCTCATTCACCAGTTTCCTCTGCTCTCTTTTTTCTACTCTGCCATTGAGTGAGCTATTCACAAAATTTTTATTTCACTGTATTTTTCAGCTTTAAAAGTTCCATTTGGTTCTTTCTTAAATCTTCTATTCCTCTTCTGAAACATATCTATTTCTTTGTTGTGGCTTTCTATTTTTCATCATTTCAAACATGTTCATAATTGCTTTTTAAAGGTTCTTTTGATCATGGCTGCCTTAAAATTGTTGTCAGACAATTCTAATAGCTTTGATATCTTAGTTGGCATCTATTGCTTTTCTTTTTTGGTTCAGTGTAAGATTTTCTGGTTTTGAGTGTGACAAGTGATTTTTCTTTTCTTTATTTTTGTTTGTAGTACTGGTGATTGAACCCAGGGGTGTTCTAGCACAGAGCTACATACCCAGTGCTTTTTATTTTTTATTTTGAAATAGTGCTACTAAGTTGCCCAGGCTGGCCTCAGAGTAGTGATCCTCCTGCCTCAGTCTTCCAAGTAATTTTTCTATTGATAGCTGGATATTTATGTATTATGTAGAAATTCTAGGAACTTTCTGTTTTAGCTGACTTTCTCTGTCAATACCCTAGCAGAGATGGGAAGGATGAAGCCTCATTATTGTTAGGTGGAGGCAGAAGCCTAGGCTTCCCATTTGCCTTGGGTTCTGTTGACATCTAGGGCATTTTTTTACTACTGGGTGTGGGAGTTCCAAAGTCTCTACTGATACTATGGGGTGGGAGAGTGATGGTTACCGGCTATCAGGGATGAAAGTCCTAGTTCCCTACTTGGTCTTTGCTGACTCTACCCAGTAGCATGTTGCATGCTTGCATGCTTCCTTACAACCTCATAAGAGTGGAAGTCTAGGCTTCCCACTTGTTTTTTTTGCTGATGTATGCAGGGGAGGCCAAGGTTTTTCTATGGTGTTTGGCTGGAGTAGAGAGCTTAATGTCTAAAAATTTTCTCTCTAGACTGTTCCTTTTTTGGCCCTTCATGGAGAAGGTCTTTGCAGCTTTGTTGTATCTTCTTTTTGGTTCGTGCCAGTTTCTGGGTTCCCAGTCCTTTCAGCTTCAAGTCTTGAGTTAGAAGAGACAAAAAGAAAACTCTGGAAATTCACCACTTTATTCCTGAAGTCTCAATGTCCCTTGTAGCTGGTCTGATATCTTTTCTCCAAACTTTCAGAGTCTTTTATGTTTGTTTAAAAATCAGCATCCATAGTTTTCTTGTTAGATTTAGCATCTTTTCAGAAGCGAAAATCTGGATATTGATTTTGTTCTAAGGAATATTTTTGTTCAGTAGCTTTGAACATCAATCTTTTCTCTTATGACTTTTTTTATTGTAATTTGACACAATACCTTTATTTTATTTGTTTATTTTTATGTGGTGCTGAGGATCAAACCCAGGGCCTCGCAGGTGCAAGGCGAACACTCTACCACTGAGCCATAACCCCAGCCCTCTCTTATGACTTTTTTCATTTCATTTATGCCTAAAGTCCTTTTCTACTTCTAGATCAGACATTGACCTATCTGTACCCTTCCCTACTCTGCTGAGCTACTACTTTGTCTCTTCCCTCTTCTTAAACCCCTACCCTCTAGTGTATGACCTGGTATTTTAATTGGGATTTTTTTGCTTCTGTGATCAAAAGACCTGATAAGAATAATATAGAGGAGGAAAAGTTTATTGGGGACTCATGGTTTCAGTGGTCTCAGTCCATAGATGGCTGAATCTGTTGCTCTGGGCCCAAGGTGAGGCACAACATGGTAGAAGGGTGTGGCAGAGGAAAGCAGTTCAGGTAAAGGCACCAGGAAGTAAAGAGAGCTGCATTCACCAGGGACAAAATATAAACCTTGAAGGCACACTTCCAGTGACCTACCTCTACCTCCTTCAGTCACACCTTCCCTGCCTGTAGTTACTACCCAATTAATCCCTATCAGTGGGTTAATCCAATGATTAGGTTAAGGTTCTCAGAACCAATCATTTCACCTCTGAAAAATTCTTGCATTGTTTAACACATGAGCTTTTGGGGACACCTCATATCTAAACCATAACACCTGGCTCCTGCTTAACTGAGAAATCTGAAACCATCAGGAGAGGACTTCATCAGATGCCTTCTATCAATCACCACCACCTGTCTGTGTGATGGTACATCCATACATGTCCTGATCGTTTTTACCAAGGATGACCTGTGCTTTTATTAGACCCCTGGCTCTCTGTGTATTGGATCTTATCCCTTCTTGTCCAGCCACAGGCATTGCTTTAATATTTCCTCTTTCTTTCTCCTTCAATATCAGTTTTTCACTCCCCACTGTGTCATTCTCATTAGTAATAAAAACATAAACATGCTTATGTTTTTGTTTTTTGTACCAGGGATTGAACCCAGAGATGCTCACTGGGCCACATCCCCAGCCCTTTTTATATTTTATTTAGAGACAGGGTCTCGCTAAGTTGCTTAGAGCTTCACTAAATTGCTGAGGCTGGCTTTGAACTCACAATCCTCCTGCCTCAGCCTCATGAGCTGCTGGGATTACAGGCATGCACCACCATGCTGGGCCATGCTTATGTTTTTTTTATCTTTTTGTGGTGCTGGGAATCAAACTTAGGGCTTCATTCATGCTAAGCAAATGGTCTACCCAACTCTGTCTTAGGATCTCATGAAGTTGCTGAGGCCCTTGCTAAATTGCTGAGTCTGGCCTGAACTTGCGATCCTCGTGCCTCCTGATTTGTTGGGATTCCATGTTTGTGCTACCATGCTGAGCTCAGCCCTTTATATTTATTTTTTTTGAGACATGGTCTTGCTAACCTACTATCCTACTGCCTCAGCCTCCTGAGTAGCTGGGATTATAGGCATGCACCATCATGCTCAGCTAGATCTGTTTGACTTTGATGTTGCTGTTTCTGACCTGATGACCTTCTCTCCCTCTCAGATTCAGGCTTCTTCAGGGGAAACCAAATATACTGGTACCTTGGACTGTGCAAAGAAGATATACCAGGAGTTTGGGATCCGAGGCATCTACAAAGGGACTGTGCTTACCCTCATGCGAGGTAACCTTTGAGGCCCTCATCTGAAGTCACCTGGGGAGGTCACCAGAGGAAGGTATACCACAAAAGGTCCTGAGAGGATTTCCATATTAGTGTTGGCATATGCCACAGCTCTGCCAAGACCATCAGTGTTTGACTTGGTTTTAGGCAGTCTCACCCTAGCTTATATGGACATAGAAGGTTGGAAGGACCTTCTATTCTTCTTGTGTGTCTTCAGGAGTGTAAATCATGACAGTGGTGGTTGAAAAGGATGGGCTGGTAGATGAAAATCCTGGCTGAAGGGATGAGTGATGAGAGTGACTTGGTGATTTCCTGGGATGTGTGTTTGTTTTCAGTGCTGGCGATAGAACCCAGGGCCTCGTGCATGGCTATACCCACCAGCTGTCTCCAAATTACCAGACTGGTTTTGAGAGGCAGGTTCTGCTGGGGTGGAATTAGAAAAAACAGAGATAATCCTACTCTTATCCTGAGATGGCAGCTTAAAGGAAAGCCAGATTTATTACCTGTGGTTACAATTACAACTTCTTAATACAACTTCTTAACATATCAGTGGTGTTTACAGCTCACATATGCTAGGCAAGCACACTACCACTGACAACTGCAGCCCTGGAGGGGATTTTAAAGATGAAATGTGTATTTATACTCACTTGTAGCAGTGCTTGGGCCAGAGCAACATCTGATAACTGCAAAGTGATTAACAAATATGATGTGGCTGCTGAGGAACTTCTCAGGAAATCTTGAATGTTCCAACATCAAGCTTGCCTCTTCTAAGTACAAGTAGTTTATGGAGGTTTTATAGACTAATTCACCTCTTTTTTGCTATTAACAGATGTTCCAGCCAGTGGAATGTATTTCATGACATATGAATGGCTGAAAAACATTTTGACTCCAGAGGGAAAGAGGTGAGAACATTAAATATTAGAAGCCACTTTCTCCATTCATGGATGGGTTGGCTACTTTTTCCATTCATGGATGGGTTGTCCTCTCCTGTGGGTAGTCTGAAAGAGCAAAAGTGACATTTTGTTCTTCCTGTATGTACCCTTTCCTGTCATGTCTGCTGAGGTCCAGCTAATCCTCTTACTTTGTGACTCACCAAGTGGAACAAGTATTTGAAATAGGCTGCCTCTAAGAAGTGGATGGAGAGTCTTGCCCTTGGACCTCATCTTCAGCCAGTTTTTCTCTCTCAGTAACTTCCTTGTCTGCAACAGGGGGGATGGTCTGAACACCACACTTTCACAGTCTTTGTCTGACTGGGGTTGTGGTGGTTGTTCTGCAGTGTCAGTGAACTCAGTGCACCTCGGATCCTGGTGGCTGGGGGCATTGCAGGGATCTTCAACTGGGCTGTAGCAATCCCCCCAGATGTGCTCAAGTCCCGCTTCCAGACTGGTGAGTGTGGTGGTTGTGGATAGTTAGCACTGGCTATCCCTGGTGTGCAAAACTCTTAAGACCCTGGGATACTTTTTCTTTCCATGTAAGCACCCAGCATCTGTCTGACTAACTTTCTACCTCACAGTCATTCATGTCCCAAGAACCTTAGATTCATTTTCTTGTCAGCCTAAACAAATAAATGATATAAGTCAAATCCAAGCCTGGTGTGGCAGCTACACTTGGGAGGTTAAGGCAAGACTGCAAGATCTAGGACAGCTTGGGTAATTTAGTGAGACACTGTCTCAAAATTTAAAAGGTGGGGGTGGTGCTAGGGATGTGGCTCAGTGGTAGAGTCCCCTTGGGTGCCCAGTACTGGAAAAAGTAAAGAAGTCAAATCCACTCTTCCTCCCCTGCATAACCAGAAAGCTTGCTTTTCTCTTTACTTTTTAAAAATTTCCTCTTGCTTCCTCCATTCCTCTTCTCCCCTTCTCCTCCTCTCCTTTCCTCCCCTTGCCCCTCCCCCATCTCTCTCCCTCTATTCATGCTAGGCTAGTCCCTAGCATGACTAGAACCCACTGAGTTTACCCCTATTCCTTTTTCATTCTTCACCCCTCTTGATTCTGGCCCTGAATTTACAGGAAGACTTAACTCTTAGATTGTTCCCATGAGGGTTGCCAGAGTAAGGTCAGGAAGCTTCCTGAAGCCTTAAAAATTGGGTTCTACCCCACAGCACCTCCAGGAAAATATCCTAATGGTTTCAGAGATGTACTGAGAGAGCTGATCCGGGATGAAGGAATCACATCCTTGTATAAAGGGTTCAATGCAGTGATGATCCGAGCCTTCCCAGCCAATGCAGTGAGTAGCTGTCAGGGGTTGTAATTTTCCTTCTGGAATCAGAGCAGGGTACACATGGGCTGGCTTTTGCTTGCTCCTGGGATTGCATTAGAGACTCAGTTTTCCCCCTAGTCCATCTTTAGCCACAGTCTCCTTTATTTGCCCATTTTCCTAAAGCTGTCAGAAGGATCTGCCTTTAAAGTTCTCTGGGGTAAGGGGATTTTATATCCTGATCTGGCCATCAGAAGTGGGCAATTGTAGGACCTGTTTTCTTCTCCTTTTAGGAATGAAAGTATAGCTTGCTTCCTTGATTTGGGATGGAAGTGGGGTTAGGGAGGGGTTCTGGTCTTAATAGGGCCAGCCAAGCATGGTGCTATGGGTGGTATCTCTGAATAGTCATACTCTTGTTGGCTTTTTTCTTTCTCTCAACCCCCTTCTTAGGCTTGTTTCCTTGGCTTTGAAGTTGCCATGAAGTTCCTTAATTGGGTGGCCCCCAACTTGTGAGGCTGAAGACTGTTCAAGACTTCTCGATGCTGCAAAGTGTTGTTGAGGAGAAGCAGAGGGCAGGACTAGGCAGTCCTGAAGGGTGATGGGAGGGGAATGGTGGGATCAGACCTCTGTGCATGGAGTTGGTGAAACTATTGCCTTAATGACGTCCTCTACCCTGTATAACTTGAGTGCCATTTTGAAACTTGAATTCACTCTTGTCAGTTTAGGGGATCTCAAGAGAATATGGAGATGAAATAAGTAGCTTCTAGAACAGATACCACTGTGGCCAGAGTGCTACATTGTGTTGACTGCTAGCCCTACTATACCCAAAATGTTCCTTGATAAAGAGGTAATCTCAGCCTCTCATTGGCAGCACAAAATATGTGGATTTTCAGCTAGCTAATCAGTTGATTGATCTTCAATCCCTAGCCAGGAAAACCCAACTGATGTCCAGGGTGCCATCTAATCCTGGGATGCGCATAAAGATGTGGACTTATTTAAAGACCATATCAGTCTATAAAAGTGGACTGGGTGGATATACCTAGGAACAGATAACCTGTTAACCATTGGACTTTTTGTTTAACGCAAGAAAAATATACAAAAATAAAGCTAGAGTAGCCTAATTTCCCAGAGGAGGTGAAGAATTTTCCCTCCTACCCAGTGAGGACAGTACCAACATACAGGGATAAGTGTGAAAGCCCAAGATATATGAAGGCTCTTTTTTCAACTTTTTTCTCATGAAAGTACCCAATTTTATAGGAAACAATAAATATTGTTTCTAATTTTTGCACTGTGTGATATTTTTTCTTGCAATTCTGTGATATTTCAGCTGGCAATCTGTGTCCATGATGGAAGTCATTAGGAATCTAGTATCATTCCCTGGGAGCCTTAGGCAAGGCCTCTAGCAGGTGAAGGAGGAAGTTGCCCAGATTCTCTGATTGCCCTAGGTATTCAAGGAAGGGTGGAGAGAACAGGGTGACTTGATCAGTAACTTCAAGGAAGGAGGCTTTATTCCTGGGAAGATATTTTCTATATGACCAGATAGGAATTAAGATCAAATAGAAAATATAGTTTTTTAAAGATGAAAATTGCAAGTCCTCTGCCTGGGAAGGTTAATTCAGTGTTAAGCCTGCCCCCTCATATATTGTATCTTTAATATCTCATACTGTCTCCTGAAGCTCTCCTTATTTTATTTTTTAGTCCTTTGAATCCAGGGGCACTTTACTACTGATTCACATCTCCAGCCCTTTTTTGTATTTTATTTAGAGACAGGGTCTTGCTGAGTTGTTTAGGGCCTCACTGAATTGCTGAGGCTGGCTTTGAACTCACAATAGTCCTGCCTCAGTCTCCTGAGCAGCTTGGATTACAGGCATGTGCCACCCTGCCCAGCTGGTTTCTTAGTGGTGGCAGATTTTTGTACTCCTTTTAGTGTTCAATAGTTGTTAAATCAAACAGGGAAGTCCTTGGTGACATATTTGTGAAGGGAGCAGAGCAGATGGTGAGTGACTTTCTCCTGACTGGGGCTTCCTTTTATGATGCACTTTGAAATGCCACCTGTTCCTGATATATCTCTTCTCTCCTGGCAGGGGTATGAAGGGTGGAGGCAGGTTAGGGAATTGGGGTCCTTTCCCGTGATTTCTGTATCATAGTGCTGGGAATTGAACCCAAGAGTGCTTTACCATTGAGTTACATCATCCCCAGTCCTTTAAAAAAATTTTTTTGGGTTCCAGGGCTTGAACTCGGGGTGCTTAACACTGAGCCACATCCCCAGCCCTTTTTTTAAAATTTTGATACAGGGTCTCCCAAAGTTGCTTAAGGTCTTGCTAAATTGCCAAAGCTGGCCTTAATCTTGCAATCCTCCTGCCTCAGCCTCCCAAGTTGCTGGAATTACAGGTGTGCACCACCATGCTTAGCTCCCATATTATTTTTTTTTCACTATGTAACTCAAAGTTTAATGAGTAGAGATTTTTACCTTCACCCTCACTTTCAGATGTGGAAGCCAAAGCTCAGACTGGAAAAAGTGATTTGTAAAAGTTATTGACAAGTTGATAATAGAATGGAGACAGGGTGTCTGGGTATGCTGAAGAAAGACTTGTGATGCTATCCGAAGCTGTCTTGGAGCTATTTGACCCAGGCTCCAGGAGGCCTGTCTGTATTGCTGGGTCAAAGCCCGGGTACCTATCCTGTGAATCAGGTCAAGGGTGGCACACAGCGTCCTGATAGGCACTGAGAAGGCCCTAAGGCTAAGTGTTCCCTGAGGGCTCTGTTTTCTGCTTTATCTGTTGTGGTAAGTATACAGGTATGATTCTCTGTCTAGATTTCCCCTTGCTTTCCAGCTTCTTTCCTTGCCCTGAGGTGTCTCAGAAAAAGACTGCGGTTTTACCATAGAGACTGACACTTTCATGGGACACAGTGTCCTGGGGAAGGGGTTGACTCACAGGTACAGAAACAGGTGGCCTGGGAATTAACTTCTCCCTATAACATGGATGTTTGTTAAAATAGATCAGACCAAAGGCAGTGGCCTCAAGGAGGAGGCATTATGGAGAGTAAAGGGCATCTTGAGTGAGGATAGAAAAAACAGCCCACTTCCCCAATTCCCTCGGCCAACTATAGGCTCATGAAGTTTTTTTTTTTTTTTTTTTTTTGTACTGGGAATTGAACCCAGGGTGTTTTAACTACTGAGCTAAATCCCGGCCCTTTTTATTTTTTGAGACAGGTTCTCACTAAGTCACTTAGGGGCTTGCTAAGTTGCTGAGTCTGGCCTTGAACTTGCAGTCTTCCTACCTCAGCTGAGTCTTGTGCCACCATGCCCAGCTCATTAACATTTCTAAGGTGAAACAGATACTGGTATCGATAGGTACTAGTAAACTGTGAGGACTGGATCAGCAAGGGGCTGCCTTGCAGAGGTGGTCAGATAACCAGCAGGTTTGAGGAAACAGGTGGGAGACTGGAGTGGCTTAGAGAAGTGGACCCTTGGTCAGGTACTTGGGAGTTGTTCCTGCTGCAGCTGAGTTCCCCCAGTAGGCAGAGGGCATAAGGTATGCAAGCCTGGGGTCTGGGCCAAGAGTAGAGCTTTGGAGGAGTTTGGGCTTCTCTTCTTCTTGGAGAGAAGTACAGTAGATATGGGGGAGGGAGACAGCTTTTTAGTAATAAACCTTTTAAGAGTTCATGAAGAGGACTCGGGCTGTAGTTCAGTGGTAAAGCGCTTGCCTCGCTTTATTGGGCTTGTTCTTATATGTCCCACAGCTCCGCCAGTCAGCCAAGCCAGCAAACAGCATTCAAAAGACATTCTCAGAGGAGGACATACAATCAATCAACAAGTACATGAAAAAATGCTCACCATCTCTAGCAGTCAGAGAAATGCAAATCAAAACCACCCTAAGATACCATCTCACTCCAGTAAGATTGGCAGCCATTATGAAGCCATTGCGAGGATGTGGGGAAAAGGGTACACTTGTACATTGCTGGTGGGACTGCAAATTGGTGCGGCCAATTTGGAAAGCAGTAAGGAGATTTCTTGGAAAGCTGGGAATGGAACCACCATTTGACCCAGCTATTCCCCTTCTCGGTCTATTCCCTAAAGACCTAAAAAGAGCATACTACAGGGACACTGCTACATCATTGTTCATAGCAGCACAATTCACAATAGCAAGACTGTGGAACCAACCTAGATGCCCTTCAATAGATGAATGGATAAAAAAAAAAAATGTGGCATTTATACACAATGGAGTATTACTCTGCATTAAAAAATGACAAAATCATAGAATTTGCAGGGAAATGGATGGCATTAGAGCAGATTATGCTAAGTGAAGCTAGCCAATCCCTAAAAAACAAATGCCAAATGTCTTCTTTGATATAAGGAGAGTAACTAAGAACAGAGTAGGGAAGAAGAGCATGAGAAGAAGATTAACATTAAACAGGGATGAGAGGTGGGAGGGAAAGGGAGAGAGAGGGGAAATTACATGGAAATGGAAGGAGACCCTCAGGGTTATACAAAATTACATACAAGAGGAAGTGAGGGGAAAGGGAAAAAAAAAACAAGGGGGAGAAATGAATTACAGTAGATGGGGTAGAAAGAGAAGAGGGGAGGGGAGGGGAGGGGGGATAGTAGAGGATAGGAAAGGCAGCAGAATACAACAGACACTAGTATGGCAATATGTAAATCAGTGGATGTGTAACCGATGTGATTCTGCAATCTGTATACGGGGTAAAAATGGGAGTTCATAACCCACTTGAATCAAAATGTGAAATATGATATATCAAGAACTATGTAATGTTTTGAACAACCAACAATAAAAATTATAAAAACAAAAAAAAACAAAAGACATTCTAGCTGGTCACAGTGACACACACCCCTCTACACCGATATTTGGGAAACTGAAGTAGGAAGATTGTAACTTTGACATCAATCTGGACAACATAGTAAGACCCTCCCCCACATAAAGAAAAAGAAAAAAAAAGTGGACTGGGATGTAGCTCACTAGTAGAGTGTGAGCTTTAGCACTAGATTCGATCCTCAGCACCACATAAAACAAATAAAAATATTGTGTGTCCATCTACAACTAAAAAACTATTTTAAAAAAGTTCATGAAGGGGGGCTGGGGTTGTGGCTCAGTGGTAGTGTGCTCATCTAGCACACATGAGGCACTGGGTTTGATCCTCAGCACCACATACAAATGAAATAAAGAATGTGTGTCCACGTACAACTAAAAAAATTTTTTTTTAAAAGTTCATGAAGAGTCTGGGGATGTGGCTCAGTGGTAGAGTCTTGTCGAGCATGCATGGGGCCCTGGGTTCAAATCCCCAACACTGCAAAGGAGGAAAAAACCCACAACAATCATGAAATTCACTGTTCCACTGGAAATAGAAGTTGTCATTTTTATCAAGGCCCACTGTATGTCCCACCTGTGCTATTATGCATCCTTAATTGTAAAATTGTAAACATCTCTGATAATTTGCCCCATAGTGTCCAAGTCTGTACCTGGGGTTGGTGGTATGGCAGTCTATGCAAGATGTCGACTGCCTGCTGGGTTGTGAATAGAATATATCACTCAGGGTTCTGGAGTCTCCTCCTATTTCTTTTGCTTCTGAGGGTCTCTGCTCTTGGCCTTTTCTACCCACTGTCACTTGCTGTTTTCTAGTTACTGGCAGCCTATGGTTTTGGTTACCATGGTAACCTCCAGTGGTGCAGCTGGATAAACTTGAATGCAAGCAGGATGGATTCAGGATAAAGGTGGAAGAAGCAGGGATCAGGCTCCTGATATTCTTTCCTGTTATAGGGCCATCTTTGGCAAGCTCAAATGGGTAGTCATGAATGTCTTTGGGGCTCCACTTGTTAATGAAGGATTGGCCAGAAGGGGTAGGGATAGACTCCTGCTCTGGGGTCAAGGGCTGAGGGAAGGAGTCAAGTTGGACATGGAGACTGGCTGTTCATCTTGACTCGAGTCTGGTCTGTGGAGACAGGTGAGCAGCAGGTATAGGAGTTCCAATTTCTGTGGTCCTCATTCCTTTTAAGATGCTTTTTTAATGTGTGTGTTTGGGGATTGAATGCAGGGGTTTGTGCTAAAGCTCACACTCTACTAGTGAGCTATATCCCAGTCCACTTTTTTTTCTTTTTATTTACATGGGGGTCTTACTATGTTGTCCAGATTGATGCCAAAGTTGTGATCTTCCTACCTCAGTTTCCCAAATAACGGTGTACAGGTGTGTGTCACTGTGACCAGCTAGGATGTCTTTTGAATGCTGTTTGCTGACTTGGCTGACTGGTGGAGCTGTGGGACATATAAG